GGTCTAAACATTTTGACGTTGACAACTTCATTCCTAAGGTCTATGAGTTTTAAACATACAATAAAAAGAGAGGAACGCATGGGGGCCATGGACCTGATCCTTCATAGTCAAAATATTTAATACCGTATCAAAATTTGACAAAGTTCAGCTATAGAACGTGGCTGTGGCAAGAAAGTTAAAGATTGGACATCCGGCCTAAACCTTTTGACGTTGACAGCTTGATTCCTAATGTCTATGAGTTTGAAACATACGATGATACGAGAGGAGCCCATGAGGGCCATGGTCCTGATCCTACACAGCCAAAAAATTTAGTACCGTGTCAAATTGCAGGCCTGACTGTGGCAAAAACTTGAAGATTGGACCTCCGGTCTAAACATTTTGATGTTGACAGCTTGATTCCTAAGGTCTATGAGTTTTAAACATACGGTGATAAGAGGGGAGCCCATAGGGGCCATGGACGTGATCCTACATGGTCCAAAAATTTAGTACCGTATCAAAATTTGACAAAGTTCAGTAATAGGACCTGGCAGAATTTTCTTCTTCAATCGTAAATAACAGATATATTTCTAAAAATAAAAAAAAAATGGTCCCCTATAAAGAACCCCCCCCCCCCCTAAATGTTCCGACTGTGCCTAAAAGTTAATCAGTTCACCGTACGATTAAATCTTAAATTCAAAATTTGTTAAGTATCCCCAGATATTCTGTCTATGTCCAAAATCTAATCAGCTCACCGCAGGATGGATTAAAGCTTAAGTTTAGAATTTGTCGCTTTTCTTTGTATCCGTTCATGAGTTAATGATTCCTATACTTTCCTTATCTGTATACAGGCAGCAAAGTAAAAACGAAAAAAAAAAATTACATTTTAACACCCTGTATCTTTTTCCTCATTTTTTTTTCCTCCAAATAATTTGCACTTACTCTGTATAACTAAGTAAATTAGGTCTGACCAATCTATTTTTTGTTTATAGAACAGCTGATATAATTTATAACCTACCTTTTTGTTACACCTTGTATAATATACACCTTATATCTAAAAAAGCTGGCAAAAAATGGGACATTTATTAATTTTATATAAAAAAATATTCTTCATAAAAAGGTAGAACACAAATTATTTTAAAATAAGTAATGGTACCAATACAGGGAAACTAATTTTTTTATACAAGGCAATGAATTTAATAATTTTTAATTACTATCAACATTTTCAAAAGATATTTTGGTCTATAATTAAATTTTTTACAAATTTGATTCTTTATTATTGATTTCTATGCGATATGGAACTTTTTATAAATTAATTTTTTTGTAAAATTAATAATAATAAATTTGTTTCAAACATACTGTATATATAAATAAAATACACTTTCTGAATTATATAATGTATTTTAAACAAATAGGAATCAATTTTATTAATTTTTATAAGGGAACTTTTATTACACAACATTTTCTCTCTCAATTTTTTTATTCACAGAAGGAAGTTGTAAAATCGATTTAAATCCCCAAGGTCTGGAAAAGATAGGGCGGCGATATTCAATGCGTACTTTGAATGACCTAGTTCTGAGTTTAGAATATTTGGTATATACACCAGTTGATCATGCGAAATTTAGTTGTGAAGGGGATAAAACAAACTATTTTTTCTCATATATTTTGGACACTAAAAATAACTAGATACGTTGTTGTCATTCAAAATTTACTAGCGAATATACATGTGGGTAGAATAAACAGATTACTGCATTATCTTGTGCAAAAGTACTATGAAATAATTTTATACTACACTAATGTAAAGTAAAATTTAGTGAGCATTATTTTCAGAAATAAATGTTTATTTTGATTCTAAGTTGATTCAAATGCATATTTATTTTGAGACTTTAATCGATTCTGTGGTAAAATAATTAAATTTTGAGCATAATCGGAACATCTGGATGGTACTTTATAGACGGTTGTTTTTAACGAGTTTATTAAATTTAGTCGGGATTCCAAGTTCATATAATCATCCTTCTATAACCGAGTCATAAGCATGCTCTAAATCAATGAACAGAAACGATGATATCAATTTTTAAATATTCCGAATAGTTCTAGAGGCTCTCGCCACTAAAATATTACATAATGTATCAATTAAAATTGAAAAAGTAATAAAGATATTCATGATATAGTTGTACCGTTTGGGCTACGGCGCTCCGAGCGTAATTCCTCTAATAATAATTGTTAATTTATCATTTATATGGCTTCTTAGAAATAGGAGCAACATTAACTGAAAACCGGAGGCGCGGGCGTGGCGGCCTAATAAATTCTCATCGAGCAATTTACTAAAGCATGAGTTGCGAATAGTAATTAATTTGTCATTTGTAGGCGATAAATGAAGAACAAAACGTTTCATTGAGAAAAATCTTCTTTAAAATCAAAGATTTTTATAATGATTTAATGAATTTAACATTATTGACAAATGAACGAGTTTTTGCATAACAAATTAACGATATTAATTTAGTGAATATGCTTGGCAAAGAAAATTCTTTAAATAAGAGTTGGTTTTAATATTATTCTCTATAATTTTTGTTTTATACATAATTTCTCTAAAATGTACCGTATTCGAGATATTTGAGAGAATATTTAAGATAATTCAAAAACGAATAAAGAGAACATCAAATTTTAATCCTTCCTACGGTGAATTTGGTCAATAATGCTTATACTGATTCACATAGGATTTCATCTTGAAAGTTAAAGCATTATATTCTCTGCCTTTTAATATAATTTTCGATTTTTTTAATGAAGTAGATAGCTGATCTTTTTTGAAATAAATAAGACAACGATCGATTCAAATTTGTTTGGATAATTTTGTATTACTGGCAAATACACATAAAAACACCACACCTCCTTCTACGTTTCATGATTTGAACAGAAATATTATAAGTTTTTACGACTTATTTAGGTAACTACTTTGAAAATCGAAAAAACACTTTTTTATTCCATTTGAATGAAAACACACGCAACGATTCCACTTAATTTTATGCACAAAAGGTAAGACGATGTCCCAGTTTACACAATGTGCATTGCAACATTTAATTTAAACAAACTAACTTGGTATTTTCATTAAATCGTGCACACACATAAGAATAGTGATAAATATCGAATAGAATTTCTAAACCAACTTATAATTTTTAATTTTTTTTGATTTTTAAATTGAAAAAGAAGAAAGAAAAAACTATGGCCATGAGGGCAACGTTTAAAAAGATAAATATAAATTAGTCCGAGAGCTAGGTATGCAATAGCCGACCTAGTTAGCCAACCATGTCGAACGTTGGTTGCCATTGAGCAACGTCAATTTACTAAATTCGGATTTGTTCGAACAAAAACTAAGTAGTGAATGTAAGCGACAGTTTTTAAAGGAAAATAAATGTTCTTCTTTTTATAATTAATTAAAATGCAGGCCCAATATACAGGGTAACTATATTCGAGCAGGACAAAGTTGGGGTTTAATTAAAAGAATATTCAATTTGATAATGTTTTGAGGAAGCAAACACATTTATTTTAAATTTCCTAACCACATTAACGATTCACAGTGTTATTGAAAAATTATTAAAGAAACTGTTAATTAAGTTATTAGTTGTGTCCGTACGTTCTTCTCTGTTACTGGTTAAATATTGGAAAAGAAAATACTAGCAATAATTTATTTATAAAAGGAGTTAAACTGGAGTATAGTAAATTAAAAAAATATTAGATGGATGTGTTTTTTAGAACGTATGGAAAATGCAAGTATTGATACCCTATGTCATAGAAAAACTAATAAAATACTAGAAAAAGAAAGAAAAGAAGGAAAGAAAGAAGGAAAGAAGAAAGGAAAGAAAGAAGGAAAGAAAGAAGGAAAGAAAGAAGAAAAAAAGAAGTAAAGAAAGAAGGAAAGAAAGAAGGAAAAAAAGAAGGAAAAAAAGAAGGAAAGAAAGAAGGAAAGAAAGAAAGAAAGAAAGAAGGAAAGAAAGAAGGAAAGAAAGAAGGAAAGAAAGAATAAAGGAAAGAAAGAATAAAGGAAAGAAAGAAGGAAAGAAAGAAGGAAAGAATAAAGGAAAGAAAGAAGGAAAGAAAGAAGGAAAGAAGGAAAGAAAGAAGGAAAGAAAGAAAGAATAAAGGAAAGAAAGAAGAAAAGAAAGAAGAAAAGAAAGAAGAAAATAAAGAAGGAAAGAAGGAAAGAAGGAAAGAAGAAAAGAAGGAAAGAAGGAAAGAAGGAAAGAAGGAAAGAAGGAAAGAAGGAAAGAAAGAAAGAAAGAAAGAAAGAAAGAAAGAAAGAAAGAAAGAAAGAAAGAAAGAAAGAAAGAAAGAAAGAAAGAAAGAAAGAAAGAAAGAAAGAAAGAAAGAAAGAAAGAAAGAAAGAAAGAAAGAAAGAAAGAAAGAAAAAAGAAAGAAAGAAAGAAAGAAAGAAAGAAAGAAAGAAAGAAAGAAAGAAAGAAAGAAAGAAAGAAAGCTGCGGTCGACATAAGTAAAAGTACAAGTACAAGAAGATAGAATAGTCCAGAAATATCTGGAAATGTCATTACCCGTCAAGAATATTCTAGACGATAGTTAGAAGGGTCAAGCAAGCTATATAAGAATGATCCTGACGTCAGTTTTCAGTTTTATGATAGAACTGTACTGAAAAGTAATATTTAATTTTATTTTTATACATTTCTCTCTTCAGCAGCTTTGAAATTGTTTCCCTCCTCATTGATTCAGTGGAGATTATATGCACTATATCCACCCCTTGAAATATATTTGGGATAAACATTTTTTATTTCCGTTTTGAAACATATTTAGTATCAATTTTTGTTTATTCATTACTCTTCGACATCTGTATCATTTCCATTGCGTTTTTCATTATAAAAACTACATCTTTTGGTGCAATTTACTTTAGTACAATGATAAACCAGTATGACATCTTTATCCCTTCCCACTTCCCTGTTTAATATAATCAAAATCATAATGAGCCGATTAAAAGACAATATTTACAAACAAATACATTAATTATGAAAATACTGTACCTTGAGATCTTTAAAGAATATCGAATTCCTCGCCCAGTCGACTTGGGAAAAGAGATTTTGGTCCAACACTTTACACATAAGTTCAAATAAGTCCACTTCACACTGATTGTACGTCTGATTTTGCAATAGTGTATACAACGAATTTTGCCATTCCCGATCGTCGATGGCAGCCACGAAGTCCCTGATTAACGGCGACACTTTACTCGAAGCCGATACACTACCACCTTGCGGTACTACAGTTTCAAATTGGAACACTTTAGGACTAAGAGAGTGAGGTGATGTGGTGGTGGAGTTCGCTTGGGCCCACAGTTTGTTCTCCGAGCCGCCACTCATGGCCATAGAGGAATGGCCGCCGCCTGGCACGCCGACTATCTGAAGGGCTGGATGCTGATTAGAGGCGGGTTGGACAAGTGAAGAGTTCACCTAGTAGAGGAAAAAGTTTCTTGAACATGGAATAATAATATATTTTCCAAATAATAGCATTTATTTGATCGAATACATAACATGAATTGCGTAAACTCAAACAAATCTGATTGGGTTTGAAATTTGGCTTGCAACGTGTCAACGAGCGGACAAGCGTTCTTTCCTGTCTGAACTTGCAATGTACGAAACTTTAAACGCTGCATTGGTCGCAATTTCATTTATTGCCAGATGCTTAATTGATAATTAACTTAACGAAGTGAAAAGGTGCATGGGGTAAAAGATATCTTAAGTTTTTTTGTAGTTTTATAGACTTAATTATGTAGGTATAGATATTAATATTATTTGTATGTAATAATAAGTTGTGTTTATGTATTTTCATTTGAATTATTCACAAAAGCTTATTATTAAGTTTAAAAATGGTTTATATCCCGACAGAGACTGGAGAAATAATGACAACCCTACCCATAACCCATGATAGTCCTTACTAACCTGGCCCAAGGCGACCGCTATCGGACTAGGAGAGGAATCGGGCGACGACGTTAACGAAGACACCTGAGGAATCTGGATCTCTTGCTTGATGTGGATGTTGGCGAACGGAGAGGTGCCAGGTTGGTTGGAATACATGTCGCCGCTGAGGCCACCTCTCAACGTCTGCGCCGCCAGCTGCCTTTGTCGCATTATCTGCAACTTCCTGGCTCGATCTCGCTTGTACATCGGTCCGAATTTATTTCGACCGCCCCTCATTCTGTCTGCCCGAACGGCTGAAACGAAACAAAAATAATATATGAATAAATAATTTTACGGGGCCAGTTCATTAGAAAATATTATCACTTCGTCCCATTTTTCGTGAGTTATTTGATTTGTGTAGGCAGTGGCGGCTCGTGGGGTGGTTCACACTGACAGAATATAGGTATCAATACAGCTGTATAAAAAACTCAGTGTTTTAGAAAGTTTATAATATATCTTTCTAAAACACTGACAATTTTTTAGGGATCTACAGGGTGTTTCATAATATATGCGCAGGACTTCAGGACGTTATAACTCGTCCAAAAATATGAAAAAACGTTTCTATTAACTTACCCTCTAAAATGCACAATTTTCGAGATACAGGGTGTTGAAATTGAAAAAAAAAATGTCTACGCCACTGGAAAAAGTACGTTTCATTTCCAAAAATTGACCATGTATTTCAACATTAAAATTTGATTTTTCTCGAAAACGGTCGGCTTTAGAGCGTATAACCAAGAGTACCTTTTTTATGTAGAAAACATTGGCGGTTCAAATGGGCGTCTCAAAACCGTACTTTTTCCAGTGGCGTAGAATTTTTTTTTCAATTTCAACACCCTGTATCTCCAAAATGGTGCCTTTTAGAGGGTAAGTTAATAGAAACGTTTTTTCATATTTTTGAACGAACTATCACGTCCTGAAGTCCTGCGCATATATTATGAAACACCCTGTATATCCTGCTACTGTAAACCCCTGTGTGTAGGTTTATCGTCAGAAAATTAAAAATTGTAAAAATCGAGAGATACTTAGGTGTTTTCAGGTATACAGATTCTGATTTTATAATATATAGACAATTTAAAAAAAAAAACTGAAAGGAGGATTTTGGACACGCACAGACAGCGGCTATCCTAGGAATACACAAGATACTATTAAGATTATTTCGCTTGCGAAACACTGTGGCAGTTCAATTTAAATTTAATTTTAATATTAAGGAAACAAACTATTATACAATACATGATTCCTAAGATTTAATTTATAAAAAATATATTTCTACGACAACAATAGTTCAAAGAGTTATATATTACAAACTTTTTAATGATTTTGTCACTTCGTGATTGCTTACAATTTCGTAAGAACATCCTATTAAGTAGTTGCATATACAATTTATGTGCTTTAACTTACACAAAACCCGTATATCTAAGTATTGCAGCGTCAAATTGCAGTTGAAATTGAAAATTGGTTTAAATGTATATAAGGAAATGTCAAAAACATGTTGACCGGGTCATAAACGAGCTGAGAGAAACACGTTTCTGTCATAGTTTTGTGGGAATAGATAATATATTTCACAATATTAATATTATGCATAAGAAATATCTATCAGAGTTGAAATAGGTAGACACCAATGTTTTACTTATTTGGTTATGGATTAATTATAAATAATTTGTTGCAATAGTTATTTCGGACACTTCTAAAATGTCTTTTATATATCAGAGTAGCTTTAATTACAAGGAGAAATACATTAGGAAATATATATTTTTTTATTTTATAGGTACCTATGTGTAGTTTTTTTCTTGGAAACCCAGGGAATCTGTAATATTAGATATAATAATAAAATTTAATAATACAATTTTTTTTTTAATTATTGATATTGTACATTTTCGATTTATATTGTATTAGACTCGGTTAGACTGCAGTGGTCGATATTTTTTAAATTTTTATTAAAAAACAAATTTGTATTTGACTATTACTAATTTATTTGCACTTATTTCCTATATTAATTTTACTAAAACCGTACAATAAAAATCTGTATTTATTTTATAACATTATCTTTTCTAATTTTATAAGTTTTAAATTTGTCTCGTGAGAATTAAAATTTGAAACGAAAACAAAACAAAATAGAACGTTTATTTGGGTCCCAAAATTCATGATTATAATGGTTTCAAATTGTTGGTCCTTGAACAGAGTGACGTTGCACTTTAAAACCCAAAAGAGGTTCTGTTCTGTATAAGAAATTAATTTACTTTTTTGGTGCATTTTTCGAGTGAAATCTTTTAGTAATAGCTTTAGATTGAATGTGTTTTATTCGTTTTTATAAACATTGAATTAAACCGTTTATTTGAATAAGAATAATAAAATATAGGTAAATTTTTACCAGATAGTATCAGAGAAGTATTTAATTTGAAAATCAATACCCTTACGTAAGCCATTGTCTATGTTTTTCCAATAATTTAACAATTTTTACCAATCCCCGCTTTTTGTAAAATTAAATTTAATCAAGAAATTTATAAGCTAAGGGTTGATCATTATTTTATCATCTTTTTGGAGATTACTAATGTCAAGAAATCATCAATGGTTTTGCTGATTTCTTCTCAAAAAAAATTGTTTCCTGATCTCGTATTTCACTTCAAACTCATTAACAAATAACAATATATTACATTTAAAAAAAAATTACAGAAAAAGAAATAGAGATCGCTGCAAAAAAATTAAAACCTAAAATGACCAATGGTCCAGACTTAATTCCAGCTTTCTTAGTAAAAGATTGTGCATCTTCATTTTGTAAATTCTTATCTGTGACTTTTAATTTGATATAAAAAAGGAAATAAAAATGATATCGCTAACTATCGGCTGATAGTCATATTGTCTAACTTTGCTAAACTATTTGAAATTGCAATTCACTAGACAAGAGAATAAATTAGATCATAAATAAGCCTAATTCCCTTGGGCTGAGCGATTCTCTAGTTGCTCTCTTTCATTCTTACCTCTCCGAAAGAACTCAATATGTTCAAATGTTGGGCCACAAATCTCACATCTTCCATCAAACGTCAGGTGTACCACAAGGCTCCGTATTGGGGCCATTACTGTTCATAATTTTTATAAACGATATTGCAAAAAATTTGAATGCCAGATATTTACTATATGCAGATGACATGAAACTATTTTATGAAATAAATACAATGACCGACTGTTTAAATTTCCAGTAAAATTTGCTATATTTATTCATTATAATCATTATGGAAATAAAATTATTTTTATATAGTTAAAAATGAAGATGATCGAACTGCGGCCATTTTTAAGTCAGTGGGACCTATCCTATTAGAATAAAGGTATTCCCACATTACATCTGACCGAATTCCTATTAAAAACAGTCAGGTAATATATAAAATGTCTAGAGTTAAGAATCTCTTTTTAAATATGTTTGCATTGGGATCTGGATATAAAACAAGATACATTTCAATGTAAATAGACTCTTATAAATCGACATTAGCAGTTGTTGTAGTAAACGATGTGTATGTACGTTCGAGTTTTGTTTATGACATTCTTCCGCTTATTTACGTATTTTCGCGAAGTATTCCAGATTTGTTTGATTCTCAAGGCATAAATTATCTGTAAACATCCCCGGTAATGCAGTACAAACTAAGAAATCGTTTATAATAGAACATGCTAGTTGATTGTGCTAATTATAGTACGGTAGAACGAGCCTTTCCTTCAAGGCCAACGGCGCTGTGCATACACAAATCAACTGCCAAGTGTATGTATATTTCGTTGTTATTTAAAGCGGGTTTCAAAGTTTCATTACGACTTCCTTCGAGAGTTCAGTAGTTTTATAATCTGGATAGAACAAAGGTAGACTTCGTACAGATGCGCAACATTTCACAAAATTCGGAAAGAAAGAGTTTTTGGTTGATATTTAATCTACAAGATAAAACCGACATACTTCGTTTTCACCAAATAAGACATCAAGTTTTTAATATGTATCCCCATACAGTGTCAATTATGTTTTGTTTCTGATATGCAGGGTGCTTTATTTTATGGTTTGGTATGTTATTTGATACTTTTTTAATTTAGTACAGGTTATGTAAAACTTGTAAAGTTTTACTCTGTGTAAATAATAAATAATAATAAACACGATCTAAATAAAAGTGTTTTTCGCCAGATATACTTTATAAAAAGTTTGTATAAAAACAAATTTATTTAAAGCAATAAAACAATACATTTTTTAAAGAATGTGATTTTTTTCATATACCGTTGTAAAGAGGCTTCCAAGACCTTACAAATGAAGTATCACTCAACCCCTCTTCCCTATTCAATTTTGAGGGGTTGAAGCGCCCCCTCGTAGGGGGTTGCTCGTTCAAGCCTCAAATATACGTCAAAAGATGTCCCCCAAAGAAAATCATCCGACGTGTTTCAAGAAATGTTTCCAATTACTATGGGATAAGAAATATACAGGGTGGCTCGTCTGAGATGGAAAACCCTGTATGTAAATATGTAAACAAACATTCTGCTCTACTAAAAAGTTGACTATAGGGAAGAGTATAATAATAGAAATATAATATTAATGATTTTTATTCGTCATGACTAATAACCATGTAAATATAAAAAATAATTTAGCACATTCTAGGATTTTTTATTAAAATTCTGATTTTTATGAGTGTATGTAAAAATAAACACTTTTTGAGTATGATCTTAATATTTTTCTTTTTGTAGAAATATATTTTGAGTGTATTTAGTAAATATTGCATTAAATAATAATACGTTGATATGGATATTCCTGGATGACAAATATTGAACGTCATATTTGTTTTTATTTGTCAAAATTATAATAATAATAATAATATTGGGTGGTTAAATAACTGAAAAATGGAATTAAAATAAAAGAATTAGATCGGTTGTGAATAAAAATGTCAGTTTAGATTTTGAGATTGTAAAGGTTTCGATTATTAGAGGAGTAAAAGTTTAAGTAAAGAAAAAGTTAAAATTAAAATACATTTGAAAAACATAAGGGTATTATAATAAACTATAAACCGGGTGTTCAAATTAAAGTGTTACAGCTAAATACTGCCTTTTATAAAAAAAAAACGTTTCAGACGAAAGTTTTATAGTTTTGTGGGAAAAATTTTTTGGCTAAAATCGTTTTTTATAGCTAATCATAATATGGCCAACCTTTTTTCGCCCAGCAAAATTTTCAAGTAGCTGTTACTCAAAAAGTAAAAGTCCAATAAAAAAAGTATTTCCATCAAAAGTTTCTTATTTTGTTATA